AATATCCATACAAAAAAGAGAGAAGAAGCTTAAACGTCAACAATAAGAAGGAATTATAGAGTTTTGGAGTATGGTCACAGAGAAGAAAAACAAAAATGAGAAAATCCAATAAGGGAGATGATAAAACTCATCGTCCTCCCTAAGCTCTTGTTTGCTTCTCTTTTTTTTATCTATCAACTGTTGCATTTACGCCTCATTTCGATTCTGTTCGGACGTAAGTCAGGCTACGAGGATTGGGAGCATTGTTGTTGTTATTTCCAGTCTCGGCTGAATCGCGCTTCCATTGCATACTCCTGGCTCCACCTCTGACAACAGAACGACCCCTAAATGCACCACCAGCTCTTCGGTATGAGGATGCTCTTGTGAACCTTCCAGCTCGAGGCCATGTCATGCTCGGCGCAGCTTCCTGTTGCGCATTGCTTCCTTTCACAATCTGCATCCATCAAAAGTACACATTTAACATTTCATATCCAACTAAGAATCTAACCATTCATAATAGTTGCTTTGGGTAAACAGAGTTTGAATGCGGGTTCTGATATCTACCTTGAGAATCCGAGACATGAAAGAGGTACCGTCCAGAGACAATGCACTCTCTGCAGCTTCTTTGCGTGTGAACTCGATATATGCTGATCTGCAAAAGGTGAACAACTTTGGTCTCCAGTAACTGAACTGTGTGCATAACCACATATCAAGACTAATAATTTAGGGTCATGAATTCAGACAACTTACCCACTTGGTTGCCCTGTTGCTGGGTCTGTTACTATGACGGCTTTAAGCACTTCACCAAACTTGTTAAAATGCCTTGAAAGGCTATCCTTAGTGGCACCAAAATGAACCTGTTTTACGACCAGCCACATTCAAATCAATACACCAATTGACAACTTTTGTTCAAGGAGTAAATAAACAGAAATAATTATTACATTGGCGACGAAGATTGTTCGAGAACTAGCATCTTCCAAAGGGCGAACAGTTGATAAAGTCCCTGCAAATACCACAATATCATCTTTAGACCAACTTTTGCAGAATAATAAAACCAACGGGACAAGAGACACTCCAAAGACTGAAAGAAGTGAGCTTGTCGAGGACAAGGAACACTCCAATACCATGAATCTTAAAAAGCTTAAACTGATATAATTCAAAAACTCACCAGGAACAGATTTCTTGGTGGTTGAATCTTCTTTCGCATTGGTAGCAGAATTTATCTGTCAGAAAACAACAAGCCAGCTTGTATGAGGAATCCAGCTGTTACCACTAATAAGCACGAAATAAACCATCACAACATAGCGATGACGGGAAAAACATTAACAAGAAAGTTCCAGGATATTTTAAAATTTAATAGCCAACCAATTGTGGAAGAACACTATCACTGATATAGCTAGTACGAGCAGAACTAAAACATGGAACTTACATTTCCATTCCCCATTGTATCACTCGAGATTTTCTCCGTTAATGATTGTGTGATAGCTTCACTAGAAACTAATCTGCCCCCGTCCATATATCTTTGAGGACCCACAACATCTGGTACTCTCATCTGCTCTGTTTTCCCGGTATCTACATTGCCAGAGAAAATTGCAGTCCTATGATTGGTTGCAACTTCAGTAAGGTGATTTTGGGTCCCTTTAACTCTATTGGGGTCATCGCCTAGGCGATGCTGCAGACTTTTTGGAGTGTTAATTCTGTTCCCACCAAAAGTACTTGGGTGAGACACATTAGCACTTGAACTGAGTCTGCTTCGATCAGACAGAATATTTGGCTGCAAGCCAGTGTCAAAAGTTGTCATGTTCTCAACATACACTCCATTGTTGTCAAGACTGTGTGTGTCATGATGCTGTACTGGTTCCTGATCTTCGCTCAAATTCCTACATTCTTCATTCTCAGGAGAAACTTCATCAAGTACCATATGTTGGTCTAGGGTCTCAGATAAACCAGTAGAATGACTAATTCTGTCAAAGACACTTCTCCCAGATTTTGTTTTTTTGGCATCTTCAGCTGCTTCGGTGACAGCTTTTATAACAGTGGCCATGGGATTCACAGCCCTTGCAACAGATCGAATTCTCCGAGCTGGGTCGGGATCAGATGAGTCTTGAGTAGATGCAGACACCACTGAACGAATGCGTTTTAATGAGGGTTCAGTCGAACAATTAGGCGGCTTTGGTATAGACAGAGCATCTCGCACAGCAGACTGAAGCAGCCGGCGAGAGACATCAGGTTTAGCCTCTCTCTATCAAAGAATTCAGAAAACAAATCAGAGAACCATAAACGCTATCCGTACAATAGATTTACATCAGG